ATTTCAAGTAATCTTATAAATGACTGTTGTATTTGATAGATGATGCTGATACATTTTTCATTCTTAATTTTAATAATGAATATTTCTGAAGAAGAACTAAGAGCAAAGTTGCTCACAGAACACAGTTATTGCGGGTTGTGCTGATTTTTTTTTCTACCAACAGTGCCTTGTAAGTTCAGGCAGGTTTCCCTCAAGCAGGCTGTCAGTTAGTTTAGGTACCAGTTTGCTGTTTCTACAGGCATCAGAAGCTGAGTAAATCCTGGGCTGGTTAGCTTATGCCAGTGTCCATGCTGCCATGACTAGCTGGCAGTAGTATCACTGAAGCTATTACCAGCATGTTTACACTGTGATTCAGTTACAGCAAGTCTACAGTGTAGATATCCCCCGAGCTGTACTTATCTTCATTTTATTGGCTATGGGAAATGACCAAGATACAGACCAATTCAGCAATCACTTGGTGCATCGTCAGGAATGAGTTAGCAAGGCTCAAGTAGATTTCTGACGAGCAAGTAAGTGCCTGCATCTTAATAAGGGCTAACTGGAGTTTGGTGGTACCTCCCAGCAGACTGAGAAAGGAGCAAGCCTGAAGACTAGAATCACAACCCTTGCAACCTTCAAAACACAGCTCTGTGCAGTGCACTGTCCTTGCCAGAGCAGGCTGACAGAGGGAAATTCAGCTGTCAGTTTGTTAGTCCTTTACTTCTCATCAGTGATTACTCCAGTGTTAAAAAAAAATGAGCTTTCAATCTGCAGAAATACACTAGTCAATTGCTTACAAAACAAACAAATCAGAACGGTCCATCCCCCAAGTTAGGGCTGTAAGGTCTTTCAACTTTTGTACTGACAGAAGAGCCTCGTTATTGCTATTAACGCAAATAAATCGTGATGGTGGACCCATGGACAAATTCTGGAGTTTCTCATCTCCTCTTACCTTCTCAGCTGGCCTTGTGTTCAGCGAAATCAGTACAAGGATGAATTAGGACTACGTATACAAATCTTCTCGGGAGGCAAAACAGCCCTCTCCTCTGAGCCATATATTAGGCTCTGGGAAAAAACAGGATAATTTCATACTCCCTTAATCAGGATATCAGCCAAAAGCAAAACCCATTACTAAAACCACAATCCTCAAAACCTACCCACAAAACTGAAATATAAAGCTGCTAGGGGCAGACAACCAGGCAGGACTTAGCATAGGCTTTGCTTTAGAAGTATGACAGTAAAAATATTTCACTTTTTCTAAGAAGTTATGAAAAATCACGTATGGAAGTCTGGCTCCTGTGAAGTAGATGACACTGAGCCCACTGACTTCAGCAAGCCAGGACTCCTGCCATACCCCAACACTTCAAGCTTGGTGGGCAGCTGTAAGGGGAGCACTCGCCATACAGGAAAGGTGAGAAAAATACTATTGGTGTGAGACAAGAGCTGTAGGACTGCTCATCTCTTCAGGTAACGGTGCTCCATAACAAAGAGGTTTTAAATAATGCAATGAAAATTACTTTTTGCTTCTAGGATCACATATGCATTTGGCCAGGAAGCCATTCTAAAAGGGACAGTCCTGCACTGAACTACTAACCATGTGGAACAAAACAGGGGTTTTCTCTGCCATGGGCTGCTTTCCAGTAACTGACTGCCGAGGCTGCAGTCTTTCCAGCTGCTCCTGGAAGCTCTGTCTCCTGTGTCTCTCTTTCATCTGTTCTTCCTTTTGGGATAGCTCTCTTTTACCTTCTTCTGCCCTGAAAAATATACAGATTCTGCTTCGCTTAAGCTTTTCACTTGGGAGAAAAAGCACCCTTGTTCATCTGTTTGCGTTTCTTTTTTCTTATATTTATACCACACACTTGAGGGTGAATCACGACATGAAAGGCTAAAATAGATTTAGAAAGCGCTTATGGTGTTTGCGGGGGGGACACGAGAAGTTGTCATTGGATGAAATCATCTCTCAAAAAAAAACCATCAAAGAAAAGGAGCAGACCTCAAACCTCTGATAAGTGGTGACAATCGATTTGGAGACCGGAACTCCATTAAGCAGAGGCGTGTTTGTGTTTCAGTCCCCACCTCCACACCAAAATTCTCAGTCTAACTCCGTTTCCTTTCCTATCTGCTATAATACAGTGGTAAGTTTCCCCTGAACCAAGGCCATCCATCTTTCTATATTTTGATGTCTGCAGAAAGATTTCATCTGCCATTTCCATGGCAAATATGGAGTTCAATTTCTTCTGAATTCTTCAAGCCCCAGGTGCCCCAATAATAAATAGAATAGCAAGAAAGAAAACTGAAATTAGTTGAAAACGTTGTGAGCTATTACTCAACAATAATAACCCAGATTCTTGCCAATCCATGGTCTGCCATCTATGTTGCAGGCTAACAGGTAGACAAAATGGAGTTTTATAGAACTGATGGAAGCCTCAAGCTTTAATGTCAGGAATCCTATAGAGAAAAAACCTGCAACCAACCATCTGCCATTTAAACCAAGTACACAGTAGCTGAAGTGTCTAAGTGGCAGGATAGGCAACTGTTTAACACTGAAAAAGTAAAAGTCTCTAGAGCAAGCAGATTCTAATTCTTTCAAGGGCTCATATGTCAAAGTCAAAATGTTAAATTTCACTCTAAAAATAGCAGGCAGAATATAACCTTTGGAAAGTCAGTATAATGGAGCTCTCCCAAATAGCTGGGCAGGTGCATAAGGCAACCACCTGATTTCACTTTAAAATTAGACCTTATGCAGAATACACTACATTAAACTAAGCCCAAGGAGGCAGAGGCCCAAATAACTCTGCTATTTCCTCAATCGATACTATTTTTTTGGTGTGATACCTTGGCAATTCAGTGGTAGTTAGAGGAGACTCTGGAGCATTTCCTGAATGTTGAACCTTCTCAACTTCCATTCTATTTTCTTTTTCTATGTCAGCTCCATTGCCCCCACAGCTTGACAAGGGGGTATTTATTTTCTCTGGTTTCAATCTCATCAGTTTCCTGGGAATCACCTTATTTGTTTCTTGCCTCACTTTAAAATACTGGTTTTGACATATTTTAGAGGAACCTGTCTCTTCCAGACTTTCTGGATCCTGTTTTATGCCTTCAAGTTTTTCAGCTGGGGTAGACGTTTCATGAAGAAGCTCTGAGGCTTCTTTTTGGGCTGCACGGAGTTGTTGCAGTAGCAGGCTTTTCCCTGAGCAATTCCTCCTGCAAAGAAAATAAAAACCTGATTTAATCAAGATAGAGCATTATATGAACAAATTCAAACTCTGAGGAACTTCTCATATGAGGAGTGACAGCTCAAAACAAGGACTGGGCATCTACACAAGTAATAGCTATTGGTAATAGAAGCACCAGCACACAGGCAACACATAAAACACTGTAGCTGAAAAGTACACGGACTGAGTAACAGATTGTTTGAGCTGGACATTAATGATGCAGTTAGGTGGTGTGTATGACTACACAGCATCATACTGTTGTACTTAACTAAATTAAACCTATGCTTTACAATTCTTTCTCCTTAAAGATGTCATGCCTCCTGCCATCATATCCAGAACCATCAAATCAACATTTAACACTGATGGCTGGACTCCTAAGGGGTATGCCTAAGTAGCGGTAATTTTAGGAGAGCGCCGTGTATTGGAGAGCAGCCCTATGGTATAGTGCTAGAGATGGCACTGACTACCTGAGCACTCCAGGGATAAGCCAACAGCGTATTTTCTAGGCTAAGTGCCTAGAGATCAAGACGACTAACCCTCCAAGGCCCTAATACGTAGGTATATTTACCACAGAATATGTAGCCGTTTAATAACTCTACTACAGAATAGGTAGCCCTGTTTAATAATTCCATCCAGATAAGAGTGAAACTGGCATTGACCCCTCGTGAATGAGATCAGAATCTTGCCCTGCTGAGACCATAAGACTTTCTTATTTCAAAACAGAACTGAGTAACATTTGCCAGGCATTTCATTTGTGTATGTTCTTTAGCAACATTAAACCGAATCAAAATCCAATCAGCTAAGCTCTGGTCTCCATCACTCCAGATTTACACTGATGCAACTTCTGCATCTGCATCACTGCCAGGGAGAGTTCCCCAAGCATCATCCATCATCTTGTCCCTGCTTCATGCTGGCTTTGGATTAGATGTTCTAAATTATATTGAGTGTTGAGGCTCTGTTCCTTGTCAAATCATTTATTCTTTCAAACCATTAAAAGAAAAAGTAATTGGCTGGCACAACAATACAAATGTTCTGCTTGTCCTCTGCACTGCTGTAATGTGAACTTACTACATTTATGCTCTGGATTACATTTAGAAGTCTGATGTATGTAAGATGTTTTAAGCTTGACATATCTGCTTCACATTAAAAACATCTAACAACGTATGGGTATGAATCAAGCCCCAAGTTTAGCAACAGGAAAAGGCTGGCATCTGCGCCTATTGAAGAATTTACAGTTTAGGATTCCATCCATCACACTCTCTCCCCTTTCCCCTCTTCCTCTCCCCCCCAATTAAGGAGACTTGAGAGCATCCCTGCCCACACAATGTATTCAATATTCTCTTTAAATCAACATCCATTCTAGCCTATTTTATTATTTCTAAAAATAAAGGTTTGTCTGAGTCAACTCCCTACAACATTTTCAAAGCTTGTTTCTGAGTCATTTAAAAAAACTGTTCTCATGTCACTCAAACATGTCTGGAGAAAGAGTCAGGTTTCCCAGCCACCCAGGTCTACTCTATTTGTCTTTTGAGCTGTTTCCATGCAGCTGTACAGGAACAAGGTGCTATACTGCCTCAAGGATCAACAACTATTTTCTAGCTTTGGTATCTTCACCATGCAACAGAAGAGTGATCTCCTGGGGCCAGATTGAAGCACTTTCATTATTGGGCTTTTTTGCTGTGAAGACCAGGAACAGATATTTCAGTACACGAGCTCTCACTCTAATCACTGTTAAGGCAATTATTTTAGTTTCAGAAAAAATGAACATCATATTATTTGAACTAGGGTCCTGGTAAAGAATCTTACATTCTCCTTTCTGCTTGGTCCTCAATTGTCATTGTCTCTTCTTCACTGGAGCTGTCGCTTGCACTATGAAACAAATTAGAGCATATTAGTTAACTCTGACAAAAAGCCAACACTAGAAATGTTCCAACTGAACATTTCTAGGATGCAAATTTAGAACCATTATGAAAAAGGGAGATATGATACTTCCAGGTGTTATGGATAGTTCTTTACACTATTACTCTAACAAAAAAAAATTCAAGCAACTACATCAAGATGTGTTAGCTGTTTATTAACTATTAGCTGTTTATTAACGACAAGGTTTCTTCTGGTGACTGTTTTCTTTAACCCCTTGCTGCAGCAAATATACATCCTGAGAAGGGAGCAAACAGCTACCTCAGACACCATCAGCTCTCGGGGAAAGGACATGTTTGCCAGAATCTGTTGCAGATTGAGAAGAATTTGGCCTCCCATAACTGACTATATAAGGCCCTCTTATCACACAGGAGACAAATCAGCACCTACAGTTTCTTGCCAGGAACGTAGTCAAGGATGTCCATTTTGTACACAGCGCTGTCAGAATGCTAGCCCAACTCAGCCAGCTGCAACCATTGCTCTGCAGTCACTGCCCACTCCTTTATAGATGGAAACTTCCTAAATGTTATTTCCCTGGATGATTTGCATGTCCTTTCTGTGCTGCCTGCATCCCCACATATTTACTTGTTCTGAGACAAGTTATTCTCTCCTGAAAATACATCTGTGCTCAGGTAGGGGCTATGCCTTCCTACTAAGGTCACAGAGGTGTGGAAGAAGAGAACACTTTTAAAGTTATTTCAGAAGTTATTTCAGAAGTATGAGATATAGAGAGAAGGTTTCAGTTTCCTACTTTTTGTTACTTACTTCTCACTAACAATAAAGTCAGAATTTACCTTTGTTTCTCATCAGGAGATGTTACTGACTTCTGCAGTTTAGCGTCTCTTAAATCTATGTACACTGTTACAGGCTCTGGCAGGCACTGTAATCTCATCATGTCCATCCTTAGGGAACTTCGTGAAGATGATAGGAAGGCAACATCCCTAAGTATAGAAAACACTGTTTCAGCATGTCCTCTGCCTTATCCAGACAAGAAGTCCTGCAGGGTGTGGATTATGATCAAAATTGGATTGTGAAAGGAGCTTTGTGCTTGGCTACTGTACAGATTCAAACTCTGCTTCTGCCTACTATCCACCACCTTACAAAGCTGAACTCAAAGATTCAGCTTCCCCCGAGGAATACAGATCACAGGCAGCATGATGAGGGATATTTAGTTCTTAAAAACTGACAATGTCAAATCGTTCTGTAGAACAAAGGTAGGCAGTTATGGTACCAAAGAGCTTACAAGTTTTAAGAGCCCAGTGTCAATCAGCAAAAAGAGGTCCCTTTTTCCTCTCTGCCTCCTTTGGCAGTTCTATTTTATCCCTCAGAGCATACAAAGTGCAAAACATCTTCATGGCTCTCCCCACTCTGGAAAAGTATCCTCATTGCACCTTCCCCTTTACAGGCTTGTTTCACTATTGTTTCCTCTGTGCTGCCACCATTGATGTTGTTCCCTCTGAACAGTCTGGAAGTCTACTTCCTTCACACAGAACCCTCCAAGATGCACTGACATTTCCACTGATACCTACCAAAAAAAAAAGAAATCACCCTGTATACTTTAGCTAAATTGAGGTGCCAGTAAGAGAAACTGGTACCCTAGATGACAAAAAATGTCACCATGATAATTTGCTTAGCCTTGTTTTCCTGCCTTTCCCATTTGTCCCAAGTGTCTGGTAAGGTCTAGACAAAGGTGGTGGTTGATGGAGAATGCTAAGGTGGCAGGATACTGACTGTTATCATCAAATGTACATGAATGACTGAGTCTTAGTTTTTCCCTTTAACATCCCTGTAGCATATTCCAACTACACTTATCAACTTTCTGCAGAGGCTACAGAGAAAAGCACCTATAGAACACCATGAGTTTCCAGCTATTCCTACTGGCAGTCATGATTACCTAGTGTATATGACAGAAAAGGACCTACTTATTCACTTGCTGTTCTTGAGAGGAGGAGAGCTTGGCTGATGGCCACCTCCAGCATGGAGACACTGTCCTGGACTGCCTGGCACACAGCTCTTCTAGCTTTTCCATGAGCTGGTTTTCAGACCTACCCCTGAAAGTCTCTGTGGAAGAGCAACAAAAAGAATCACCAGTTGTGGTCTTCTGCCATGGGATCACCCAATATATCCTTTCCCCATTTCCACATTGTCCCTTTCTCTACCGCCTGTCAGAAGGGGAAGGATAAAGATACTATTGTCATCTGGCTCTGACAAACTTACTTCAAACCTTCATCCATCTTGTCTGATTCACTCTTAGGCCATGACAGGCCACAAAGCACTGGTTTCAAGCTACAAAAGCAAGATGAAATCTTGAGGGAAGCTAATTAATTAAAAATGTGTTTTACAGAGGCATTAAAAAACCCACTATGATTTCAACATTCAAGATGATGCTGCAGGGAATGACATAAACACGGGAACCTGAGTTTTATTTATTTTTATACACTTTCAGCCAAGTTGGTATTAATTTAGCAGCGTTACCATGATCTGCTGAGGAGAAAGCAACTTCTGCATGAGTGTTATCTTTCTGCTGCTCCAGCTCCTCAAGAATCTTGTCTAGATCCCATTTCTCAATGTTCTGAAAGAAGACAGTTGAACTGTGATGGAAAATTCACTCCCAAGAGACTGCTACAAAACAAAAGTACCTTTGGCTCACATTCTTTGTGGTAACTCCATCAGATTCTTCTGGTGCATACAAATACACAAATGGCATGGAAGTTCACCTTACTTGTCTCCAGTACTATGCCACTGTCACTTACCAGTAGATGAACCAGTGTGTCGCTCCGGACACAGTTGCTTCAGCATGAGCCTCAACAATTGGCATGACTAACAAAAGGATATTTCCTGTTTGAACACTGCCTCATGTCATTGCCAAGACTAACAAAAGGATATTTCCTGTTTGAACACTGCCTCATGTCGTTGCCAAGGCTCTGCACATCTAGCATAGGCAAGCGCAGTATAATTACTAAGAGAAACCAGTGAAGGATTAACCGATGTTCATTCAAATATAACAAAGGTAGAGTACATTCTCCTTCCCCACTTAAAAAAACTGCAAAGTCTAGAAGACATTTCTAGAATGGACTGAACTGACAGTTCCTTAAAGAAGAAACATAAGCCCATCCTAAGTATCCACCTGACCCTTCTCTCCATAAGCTGGGACCTAACTCATTACCTCCTCCACACGGCTCAGTCTTCCACATGCATTCACATGGTGGATTCTTTCCAACAGCAAGTACTCCCCTTCATCCCTCAAACCCACTAACAGTACGAGATCCCCACATATTTTATTTCCTTCTGTCCATCCCTCCAAGTACCTTTCCTCACGCTTTCACCATCTCCAAAAGATGATGCCCCTAACTAGATTGGATGTAAGGAAAAACGTATTTACTGAAAGAGTGGTTAAACATTGGAAGAGGCTGCCCAGGGAAGTGGTTGAGTCCCCATCCCTGGAGGTATTTAAAAGACAAGTAGATGAGGCACTTAGGGACATGGTTTAGTGGACATGGTGGTGTTGGGTTGACGGTTGGACTCGATGATCTTAGAGGTCTTTTCCAACCTCAATGATTCTATGATTCTATAACTACACTGCCACCTTGCTTTAAGCAGTTCCACAAGGAAGTGCTGTAGCAAAAGAAATGCATTTACTATATCTCTTTGGACAGTGCATCTGTCCAGCTGCTTCATCTACTTCTGTTGAGGCTTTTTCTCCGAGAATCATGAAGCCTTTTGATATAGGCTACAGAAAACCACTGGAGATAGTAAAATAGATTAAAAGATGCCTGATACAAGACCAAGCATACATATTCTGATTCTGAATAATGCCACTAATATGAGAAGGACTTTTGGCTTTTCAGTTCTTTGAAGTGAGGCCTGCAGCCTTTTCCTCCCCCTCCAACTTCTGACCAGGGCGGATTCCCATTCTTCTGGGTACAGTCAGCATCAGCTGTGATCTCACAGCCGCTTATCCCACACTGAAGATAGGATCAACAATTTCATTGCTATGAATCACATACACTAGCTGAGGGTATGCTCGCACTGCACACTGTTAACTTAGGTATGAGAGCCAGTCTGCGATGACAAAAGTTCACACGCATTTAAAACGCTGATTGCTTTCCCCTCTGAATATTATTTGAAATGAAAGTTTTCATTAAAAATATCCACATCCGTCTGAAATATCATCACCAGAACTTAAAGTACTCATGAGTTTTTTTAAAAGGAAGGTGACTGTCAATTATGACAATTATGTCACAGCTACAATTAATGTGCATTTCATATGACCACTCGAGCTTTAGAAAAGCAGAAGCAGCCTCTAAAACATGCAGTTTCACCTTGTAAAAACCTGTCATCTGCCCCTCCCATTTAAGAGAAGATTCTCACTCTTTCCAGAGCAATAAATCTTCACACATACCTGAACCATGATTAGATCTATTCTAATATTACAAGCTGCAGCTGACGAAGGGTAAAAGCCTGATAAGAGTCACAAGCTGAAGTCTCTCACACCAACACAAAGCTAATACTGGTTCAACAGTGTCATTGAGATGTTTTGGTCTGGAAGAGTGAAGAATGACTGACAACTGAGCTTACTACAATGAGAACCATGTCACAGGTCAGTACAGGTGACGTTTTATCAAACAGCCTGAAGGTAAAGACAACATATGCATTTGCTTTAATTATGATGCAGTTGGTACTAAGCTTCTTTTTCAATAATAGCACTTAAATACAAACCATTACAATAAAAAGATCAAACCACCATCTAACCTGCTGTACTAAGGCTTTACCCTCCTAACCCTTAACAGGAACAGCACTATTGTAAGGTACTATACAGGGTCCAGAAGAAAAAGAAATGAAGATTTGCACAATTCCATTTCTAACACATAAAGAGACTGAAATATACTTTAAGAAAAAAAGTCATTTTCAAATGAACTGATATGATTAGAATCAAGAAGAAACTGTATATTACTTTTAACAACTTTACTTGACATAAACTGAGGTATCTTGCCAAGCTGGGAAGTAACAACCAGCTCTCAAATCTAAACACTTACACACAAAGGATACAGCTTTGCCCTCACTTTATGAAAGTGAGAATACACTGGGCCTGGTCTCAGTACTCACCCAAAAGCATCAGACTTCAGTTCATTGAAGTCAGCGATATCAAACATGTTCTGAAAGGAAAATCATGACTCCTGAATTAATAGAGCAACTGACTTATATGAGGTGAGATGGGAATTAAACCTAGAACCACTTGAAAAAGATTCCCTCCAATAATGGCATGATTAAATGATGCAGCACAATTTAAAAAACAACAAACAGGTGAGCACCTGCATTCTTTGCCTACACTAGAACCATTCTGACACCAAAAAGTTTATTTTTGTGAGTGCAGATGAAAGGGGAAAGGAAACATCTGTACTCTGATTCTACAGAAGGCTTTGAACAGAAATATCAGGCTCATGTTCTGTGCTGATTAAGTCCTAATGACCTTAAAAATCAATACAGGAAGTAGAGCTCTAACTATAGTACTGAAGAGAACCACCTCTGCATGCTGGGGTCACATACCAGCTAAGCACACATGAGCTGGTCAGCCCACAGACCTAGGCACCTGCCTCAGGTGGAAGAGATTCAAGATTTCAGGAACAACCCTAACCACCTTCTCTTCTCACCTCCAGCATTACCACAGCACTACAGAAAAGACAAGATGCTGGAAGGCCGGAAAGCTCACTGTTTTAATGTGAAGTCTGCCAGAAGAGTTCCCTGCCTTCCCAGGGACAGATGTTGTGGCTGGCTTTCCTGAATGAGACCATGAACCATGCTGCTGCCCCAGGGCTTTTGCTACCACTATGGGCTTTTAATGACAGCTCTACGAGACAAAGATAGTTTGTTGGTAGCTCATATTGCACATGACCCAACAAAACCCAAGTTCAGGACAACAATGAAAGCAACAAAAGTAGCTGTGGTGCGTGCAGAATTTGGCATTTCAGGTCTTTATTTTAGTAGGATTCTGCAAGCAATGCACTGTGCCCCCTACTCCACAAGCAGCACTCCCCAAAACCATTTATTTGGGCCACTTACCTGCAACGACAAATGGGTTAGTTCCTGAAGGTGATCATCTGAGGAGGTTTCTTCCTTAGCAATTCTTTCTAGACTGTTGCTAATGCCATCTGAGGGAGGCTTGACATCTAGCTCTAGGTGGCCTGGTGACGGCTCCAGAATTATTTTGGAGAGTATCTTTGTTTCTATCTGCTTTCTTCTCTCTTTTTGACTGTCCAGCTTTTCCACAGACAATGCTGTATTAAGCCAAGAGTTCCCTCTTTCCCTGGCCTGCTTCCTGCCCAGTTCTTTCTCTTCAAGGTGATCTGTGGGATCTGCAAGAGACTCTTCACAAACAGCTCCCTTTTGGCTTGGAACGTCTTCAGTATGGCCGGCAAGATTGGGAGTCTCACCTTTAATCATCTGTACATCTTCTTTTGCAATGACTTGGGCACCATCTGTTTTTTTCTGAATGCCAAAACTTTCTAGCTCTTCATTCCCGATCTCCCATGGGTGTCTTTCTGTTTCCTGGGTTTGCTACAGGTAAAGAAAATACACACATGCAGAAAGTCACATCTCCCTAAGCTTTAGAAGCTGACAGTAAAGCAAAACAAAGTGATTGGCAGATAGCAGATCCAACTCAGACACCATCTGGTAACAGCACACACCATATCCATCACAGAAAACAGTAAGACTGTTTACTTTTCAAAGTCTAACTTCAGGAAGTATTAAACATCCTTGAAATTAATTTCCCTTACAGCTGCTCATCATATGACATTTCTTACACCAAGATAAACAAATGGAAAAGCAGCACAGTAAGTTAGTCTTCTCATGATGAAACAACAGGGTCAGCTGGCTTCTCTGCCAGCTCCCTATGATGGCTAGTCTTCATCGCTGCAGACACAATGTAATCATTTTATCTCAGAAAAGCTGCTCAAGGGATAAACTTCATACTCATCTTCCTTACTTAGGACCCACTGTTCTAACTAATTCTACATTTTCTAGATACATAAAATGGTGGCTGAAACTACTTCAAACCTGAGAAGTTTAGGAGTCATTGCACAGTGTTACTGTTAGCGCACAGGAAAAAACAGTAAAAGGACAATAATAACTGCAAGGAGATGGGACAAAAAAGGTCTAAAATCTCAAGAACAGAGATTTTAAAGGGTCACTGTATAAAGAGAAAGAAAGATCTAGTCTCTAGTGGGAGAAAGTACTGGGGACTACACTCTTCTATCACACAATTCAAATAGGTCAGATAACAGCAGCTACCCACACTGGAGACAACCAGACAAGTGGGGTTACAGTAGTACAGCCTGCACACAACAGTCAACAACCTGCATGTTTGAGTCTTCCAGGGAAAACTCCATCAGTTCTTCTGACAGGTCAGGAATTAAGTTTGGCTGTTCCCGCTGGAAGATGAAAAGCTCCCCATCACTTTCACAATCAGACTGCAATCAAAAAGAGAAATTAAATGATGGACTATAATACTCACCTAAATATCTGTTTTGCAGTGACAAATCTTACGTTGTCACTACTTGACTGAAATTCAGAGACAAGAAATTTCTCTGCAGTTGCATCTTCACTAGGCAGTCTGATAGGCCAACACTCAGCAATCTAGGCTGTGTTACATGGCCTAACATTTGAGCAAGCTATAGTTGTAAAAAAACCATGTAAAACATTCAATTACCATGGAGGTTGATGACTAACATCCCTCTGAGCAAAGCGATGACAAGAGCGGGCAAGTTCTCTAACTCCCAAGTGATTCTTTGTACTACCTCATTCACCATCACAGAATAGCAAAAGCAGGGCTGCTCCCTAAGGAAAGGGGAGCTGGGCAGGGAAGCACGTAACTGGAAAGGCAAGGGCCTCACCAGCCAAAGTCCAGCCCCACAGTACCTAAGAGGAGCAAGCAGGACAGACCAGAGGTAGCGACCAGGTTGAGTCAAGAATCCAGATCATAAGGCAATATTGTGGTGATAAGGCAGGTCAGAGATCAAGCCCGAAAGTCAATTCACAGGTGATAAGCCTGGATCAAGCAGGACCACAGCTAGAAACCAGTACTCCTCCAACATAGCTCAGACAAAGAGTTAAGGCCCAGAGCTGAGCTTAAATAGAGCTGCTGGGCGTGTGGGTGGGAGCCCCAGCTGAGGCTGGGCAGGGCCATGAAGGCTTATTGTTGCAATCAGGACCCTGACATTCACTATTCAGAATGCAAAGCAGTATCTGTATTTGGTTGGACAGAGTTTAAATAGCTTTGAAAATCTCTTTTCTGAACATAAGATATGCATTCTTTTCTGAACATAAGATTGCATATGATGAATCCTTATGCATAGACACCAAAGTGAGATTAAGCACCTCCTCAGCAGTCAGGACACAGATTTCCTGCTTGTCCCTTTGTTTTGCAAGTGTACATTTTTCAGTAACTCACACTTCAGAGAATTCTATCTGGTGTAATTAATTTTTCTTAACATGAAGCAAACTGCAACAGAACTTCTTTCCTCTTAATAAATTGCATATCAGGGTAATGAAAGTACTTCAGGGCATAAAACACATTTTTCAGTGCCCTTTGAATGCAGGAGCACAGCCCGCTGAGGTTACAGATCTCAAATGCATAAACGTATCGTCACACAAGTGGAAACCGCTCGGACAAAGGTGCAGCACTGAAACTGCAGGCTCAGCAGGCTACTGTTTCACATTAAGCAGGAGAGGGATTATACAACCAGATCTTTTGAATGCAAATTAAGGGTAGCATGTTAAGTGCCAAATAGATTGCCTCAGTTCCTTCAGCAGGAAATTTTTTCCACATGTAATAGAAACAGAGAATTTGGAGATTGTTTATAAGTAAAAAAAAAAGTTCAACATGATTTAGAGTTATAGAATGGTATTTGGCACCAAAGTACAAAGCTATCTCTCTGTCTTAACCTTATTGTACACTTATATAACAAGAATGCCTAAAAATAACTTCTGAGTGTTGGGCCTTAATCTATACTATATAGACACATATTAAAAAGCAACGGTCATTTTAAGTAACTGAAACAGAATGTAGATAGAGGGGAACTGAGAAACAGTGAGGCAATAGAACTTGTCCAAAATGTTAGTGATAGAGCCAGGTGCAGAAAACAAGTCATGGAATCCGTATCAACACTTTATCCACTAGATCACACTGCTTCTGATGACTGATTAATAATAAGTAATAAATACCCCATGGAGGCATTTCTGGCTCCTTCACTGCTCACAAGACTCCCTTTGTATCATTAAGGGCCACACTAAGTTAGAATAAAATACATCCTTCAAGTGTTCAAAAATACTCTTTCAAGTTTATACATGTTTGAAAAGTAACAAAATATTCTGATTTGGGCAAAAGGCCACTAATAATTGAGTCTTGAGACACATTATCACCTCGGAAAAGTCAAAGCCAGAGCTAGCATCTTGGACTAGAGAGGCAGGCACTTTTATTATTTCCACCAGATTGTTGCTGTCCTGTGAACAGAGTTCTTCAGCAGCCAACAACATCTATCAACCTTATGCTTTATATTAAAAGGTTAGTGGCATTATGCTTCTTTGCAGGTAGAATTGAAGCACAAAAAGGCAACATGGCTTGCGGAGAACTACAGGCGGGGAAAAAAGCAGAATCCAGGATTGAAATATCTGCCAAATGCTTTTTCCAGTGGACCACAAAGTCTTCAGGAATATCACTTTCCTGTGATCCTCATACATGGAAAAACATACTAGCAGGCCTCCTGTATGGCAAGTACATTATTGGAATGAATAGCATAATACTCTCAAGCATAAAACCTTATCATTTTAAATCTGCAGTATGCTTCTTTCATACTGTATTTTTGACTGAACAAACTAAGAAGAAATGCGGGCTCATTCTGCAAGATGCCCACTACCCTCCCTTTCCCAACCTAGGAATACTCATCATCTGGAAAAATCAGTCCCATATTCAAGTTCCAAAGAATACAGCGAGAGGAGATGGCAATTACACTCTGACAATTAGAGATAATCCAGAAGGCTGTGGATTAATGCGCGGTGTTACAATGGTCAGAACAAGTAGCCCATCTAGGATACCATACTCGCTACTCAGAAATGCCTGGCTAAGGTGACCTTCTCTTGCTTTTGAGAGATTTTTCTAAAACACAGTGAGAAAGAAAGGCAGGTTCCAGTGCTTACTGTGTCAGAGTCCAGAGATGGGAGCTGATCTTTCACTGCAGCGAGTATGGCTCCCCATTGAAATGTTCTGTTACACTGAACAGGAGTTGCAGGAGGCTCAGATGGATGCTCTGTATCCTCACTTTGCCCTTGTGAGGCCATTTGAACGGCTTCCCTTCAATCAAATGAAAGATGAGCTTAAGTACACCTCACGAAAGAACACAAGGGATAACATCAGTACAAAGCCAGAACAAAGCATATGCATTCAGGGTCAGAATAATTCTCAGCACTCCCAGGGTTTTCACTGTCAGCAGTGAACGATAAAATCTGCATTTTTGGAGTCGTTCCTTCCCACCTGAGTTCAGAGGGCTGAGAGCTTTCTGCCCTGCACACCATATACACCCATAATTGGGGCCACATGAGGGGCAGCTTAGCCCTTAATTTCTAAAGCATTTTTGGGATTCTTAGCCAGACTGACTTGTAACTGTGTTCTCAGAAAAGCACGTTCTCACTGCCTGCAGGGAGAGGGAAGGTACGCAGTGAAGGCAAGGCCGACACCTCTGCTCTCAGCTGGTCTTTTCTCCCCTTTCCTAGTTGTCTCACGTTCTGCTCCTCACTGCTCAAATGATAGATAAAATGATTTATGTTTGCTTTTTTTTTTACTGGATATGTATAAAAATAGTTGAGAGTAGGCACGCTTTTGGATTTTGACCTCTCAAAGTGTTTATAAAGTGTACTCTTTCCTCATGTTTTCCTTGACATGCATGAGGAGTAGAGACAACACAGTAGGGACTACGGCTGTAGTGACAAGTTAGATAATTAATCCTCATGGAAGACCTTTGCTTTTTAAATTTTATGCTACAATTGCATGGTTTCCTGAGGAATCAAATGTGAGAGTAAATAATTTCTGTTTGGCAAGAAAGATTAAGAGATTTGTGACTGTATGTTGTTCAGTACTGAAATAACTGTTCATATGATTCAACTGTCACTATTATTTGCATTGGCACTGACCGACAACACTCCTCTAAACATGAAGTGAAACTCATCTCATGCCCTAGGAAGTTTACAACTTGCAAAGTGCCTTTGCAAATACTTCATATCCCATATCCATACAGTGGCAGCTTTGTTCATGCGAGACAACCCCTGAATCTGATTTAGGTAAAGTGGAGGGAAATCCCCAAGGCTGGAGTATTATGCTCTGACAGGAAGCAGAGGTTGCCAAGGGCAAGAAGAGCTCCATGGGGATAAAAACAAACTGCCTACTGTGGCTTCCTCTGCCAACTTGGGAGAAGGTCAGTCCCCCAAGGTTAAGGATATTATACTGGATCTGACTTATCAGTCATCTAATCCAGCATCTTCTCTGGGAGCAAGCAATACTCTATGTTTAACACAAAGTGCAGACTTGTTAGCTATAACACAACAGGCGCTTGCTGGAGAGCTTGGGCCGATTGAGACGTGAAATCCTGAGCTTCTCCGTGTCACTAGAACTGACATTTCCTGTCACGTCCACCTCGGGAGCCTCGCTGCCTGGGCGCGATGGCAACGAGGGAGCAGCCAGGAAGACGAAGGCAAGGGCGGGAAACACACCTTCGCTTCGGGGCGGTATTCACGGGCACGCAGCCCGCCGCAGAGCAGGGGATGAGCTAACCCCTGCCCTCAGCACTCGTCACGCCACACCGATGGGTTTCGGGACCCGCAGTGCGAGGCGGACGCCCCGAGGGAACCCGCCGGGGGCGTTCCCCGAC